TCTGGGACATTGTCAAGGCACGGTACGACCAGCTGGTGATCAGGGATTCTGGCAAAAAAAGGTTTAGAATTAACTGGAAACTGGTGGACACTGAAAAGCCGAGCCTACTCGATTCTCTTTTACTAAACCGAGTTCTGCTGAAGAAGGAAAGCCAAGGAGCAAACGTTTTCAGTCGATCCTGGAACTTTCTCTCCTCCTTTGTGGACGTCATGTGGCACGCTGACATGTTCATCGTAGCCGGCCATGACACTACAACCGCCTCCATCAGTTGGACTCTCTACAGCCTCGCCCATCATTTAGAAGTTCAAGAACGGGCTCGGGAGGAAGTTTTTCAATACTTGGAAGATCTTAAAAACATGGGAGAAGTTCCAAATGTGATGAACCTCAAACGACTTCCTTATCTTGAATGTTGCATCAAAGAGGCGCTAAGGCTTCATCCAGTAGCCCCTTTCCTCGGACGACTCGGTCAGGCGGAGCTTCCAGTTTCAGTAGATGGAACTTCTATTCCCGCCCAGGTCGATGTCACCGTCTTCTACGACTACGCCCATCGTCAAGAAAAGTATTTTCCGAATTCTCATGATTACAAACCGGAGAGGTACATGGGAAAAACGAACTTTCTGACGACCTTTGACCTTGATGCTCAGGTCGACCCGAATCGAGCCAGCTTTCCTTTCAGTCTCGGAGAGCGAAACTGTCTCGGTCAGCAGTACGCAATGTCGCAGATGAAGCTGCTTCTAGTGAGGTTGCTCTCCAATTTTGAGATTCATTCGCTGCCAGAAGAGGAAAATGTCGTTGATGAGCACCACTTTCTGACCAAGCCGCCCCGATTTCCGGTGAAAATTGTTAAATTAAAAGTTTAACTGATAACAAAAATGTTTAAACAAAAAAATAAGGTTGTTTTTCAGACATTTCAATAAAAACACATCTGTTGACCTAATTTCAACTGCATTGCTTGTCTGTCTACCTTGTAGTACTTTATCAATATTAACCCAATTTAGCAGGTGCAGACTAGACTAGAATAATGAAAAATAGGTAAAAGCCTAAAAATGCACATGTTTTTGAAACAAAACAAACCATCTGTTGGTTTTCTACTTTTTTAGAGTACTGGTCAACTATAAAAAGCGAGAATCCTTTTTCAGCACTTTACCATCCATTTTCAACTCCATCCTCTCCATCCTTTCCATCATGCTCAAACTCCTGATCATATTGAGCGCCTGTTTTAGCCTGTCCCTAGCGTTCTGGGCGCCCAATGACGCCCGATTGCTGGACGACGGCGAGGCAGTGCCCAAAGCCTGGGTCCGGGACGCCGGATCTGAGGAGGAACAGGAACAGGAAGCTCAGCAGCTGTTCACTGAGGAGGAGATGCAGGAGGTGAATGAGACGTTGGCCACTTTTAACTCCGGTTAGTAGTAACGTTTTTTGACCTTTTTAACATTTGACCTTTTTTTCTCATAGCCAACTGCGGCATCAAGAACGGCCCTCGAGACCTCGGTCTAATCGTCGGCGGATCTGAGGCGCCGGCCAACGCCTGGCCCTGGGCCGTCGGCCTACTACGTTACGGTAACTTCATTTGCGGCGGGACGATCCTCAATGAGCGGTACATCATCACCGCCGCGCACTGCGTCTCCCGAGGGGGCGTCACCAGCCCTGCTTCGAATTTTCAGGTTCTAGTTGGGGCCCACACGCTTGGCTCCAGCGGTCAGCTGTTCAACGTGGAGCGAGTACAGGCGCACGAGTCGTACAATGAAAATCTGATGCAGAATGACATTGCCCTGCTGCGCCTGCGAAGCTCCATTAACTTTGCCTCCTTTGGAAAGCGCGCCCGACCGGTCTGTCTGCCGCCGCCCAGCCTTGATTCGGGCAATCGGAATTTGGTCGGTCGAATGAGCACCGTCGTCGGTTGGGGCACCACCCGAGAAGGCGGCTCCATCAGTCGAACGCTGCAACAGGTGCAGATTCCCATTATCAGCAATGCCGAGTGTGCGCGCAAGTACAACAGCGCTACCGTGCGGGAGGGGCAGATTTGTGCCGCCTATGCTGCGGGTGGGCGTGACTCGTGTCAANGCTCCATCAGTCGAACGCTGCAGCAGGTGCAGATTCCCATTATCAGCAATGCCGAGTGTGCGCGCAAGTACAACAGCGCCACCGTGCGGGAGGGGCAGATTTGTGCCGCCTATGCTGCGGGTGGGCGTGACTCGTGTCAAGGTACATTTTTAAAGTTGTTTACTTTTGAGCTTTGACCTTTGACCTTTAAACTTTTTTTGCTTTAGGCGACAGTGGAGGCAGTCTGACGCTGGCCGATGGCGGAAAATTTTATCAACTGGGCGTGGTCAGCTGGGGCAGCGGTTGTGCCCGACCAGGCGCCCCGGGCGTGTACACCCGGGTCAGCAAGCAGCTGGCGTGGATTGCCCGCAATACTAAACAGTAGAATTTCTGATAAAGATTTTNGTTTTGACCTTTGACCTTTAATCTCTTTTTTGTTTTCAGGCGACAGTGGAGGCAGTCTGACGCTGGCCGATGGCGGCAAGTTCTACCAGTTGGGCGTGGTCAGCTGGGGCAGCGGCTGTGCNCAAACTTTTAACCTGATTACATCAATCTCTTGTCAAGTCCCCCTTTACAGCCTTGATTTTTTTTGCATGTACTCTTCTCGTCTTTTCCTTTTTTTCTTTCGTCTAATCGTCAAGTTCACTTTTTAATCAAATTAATGCTTCTTTCTCTCTCTTTCTGTCTCTATCACCCACTAATCACGATTTGTAGTAGCGCTACACACACACACCCAAACACGCATCCTGTCATGTGACAGTTAATTAATANTAACTTTTAACCTGATTACATCAATCTCTTGTCAAGTCCCCCTTTACAGCCTTGAATTTTTTTGCATGTACTCTTCTCGTCTTTTCCTTTTTTTCTTTCGTCTAATCGTCAAGTTCACTTTTTAATCAAATTAATGCTTCTTTCTCTCTCTTTCTGTCTCTATCACCCACTAATCACGATTTGTAGTAGCGCTACACACACACACCCAAACACGCATCCTGTCATGTGACAGTTAATTAATAAGAAAACTTGGAAAATTAGTTCGCATTTTTTCTCTGTTTGGCATTTTTGCCCAAAATTTGACCGATCGGCAATCAGTCAATCAGTCAGCAGCAGCCGTGCACTCTCTTCTTCTTATTACGTCGTTGATAAGATAGACCACCACCACCACACTGCTTTTTACTAATGCCAAACAAGGAGAGAAAAAGTTGGCACTGTTATCAGCCCGCCGTAATTGGGCAGGTTGAGTACATTTTAATCGTCAGAAGATTATTATTTGTTGCTTATTTAACATTATGTTATATACCGATAAAAGGTACATTCTACTCTTGCGCTGATCACTGATGATCAGTGATCTACTCAAGCAAGACAGGGCAACACAGTTACAATTGTCTTTTATTGCGTGAAAAAAACTAAATAGTTATTTTGACATTTGAGGAAGTTTGACACTAGACATTTAATTGACCGCGAAAAGGATGATTCAGGTAAGACTTTTAAGGGCTTTAAAGTTTAAATAATAACTCTATTTTACTAGAAAAAATGCCAAGTGTGCGCTGACAAAGCACTTGGATTCCACTTTGACGGCCTGCCCTCCTGTTCCTCCTGTCGAGTGTTCTTTTATCGAAATGCCGCCAACAGCTCGGTGCTCAGGTGCGTTAGAAGGGATAAAGGAGAAAATAACAATCCCTGTCCCATTGACCTGCATAATCGAAAGTCGTGCCCGAAATGTCGCCTGGAAAAATGCCGATCAATTGGAATGCGCCTGCGACCCGGGCAGCTGCAAAAGCTTCAGCAACAGCAAGTTGAATCAACTTCTAAGGAAGGTGGTTTCCAAGAACTGGCCACCACAAACTTTCAAAATTGTTTGCAAGATCAAAATAATGGAGAACTGTCTGAAAAAACCAAGAAAACACTCCCCTCAAGCAAACTCCCCACTATTGAGCTTTCCTTCTTTGAGCACCAAAAAATGGCAGACCTGGGCCATCTGATCTCTGCCTCTCTAGGCGAAGAGGCCTGTTGCTCTGAAGTAGTAGGGGAGACCACCGGTATCTACTATCTCTCCAATCTGTCCGCCGTCTATGGACGTCGACAGTGTCAGCTGGTGAAGCGGATTCCCCTTTTTAACTGGCTCAAAGCCGACCTTCAGTTGGAGCTGTTCCGTCACTTCTGCTTCGACTTTATGGTCGTCCGGGCGGCTTTTCAGCTAAATCGAAAGACGGGCCTTTTTCGACTGTTTATGGTAACCATTTTAGCTTATTTTAAAACTTAATGCAAAAGTTTTCCTCCTCTAGAACGAAACCGGCTCCCAAACAGTGGACGTCCGCATTGACACCTCCTTCACCTCTCGTCCTGAGCTAATTCACGAGAACATCGCCATCATCAGCGAGCTCAACTCAAAAATGGAGGGCGATCAGACGGTTCGAAATCTATTGAGCGCCATTCTCCTCGTCAAGCAGCCGAGGTTCGCCCTCTGTGAGCCAGTTCGCTACCAGTACCACCAGTACTGTCGACTGCTGCGGCGGTATCTGCAGAGCAAGTACGCGAATGTTGGAAACAATAAAATCGTTGACGGTGGTGGTGAGGAGTTTGCCTTCCAGCGGTACTGCTCCCTGATGCGAACCATCCACAAAGACCTGGATCGTGTGAAGGAGAACATGCGTTTCCTCCTCTACGAAGTGGGCGTTCACCGAGTGGCAGACATTGTNTGACGGTGGTGGTGAGGAGTTTGCCTTCCAGCGGTACTGCTCACTCATGCGAACCATCCACGAGGACCTGGATCGGGTGAAGGAGAACATGCGTTTCCTCCTCTACGAAGTGGGCGTTCACCGAGTGGCGGACATTGTCGCCGAGGTGATGAATCTAGAAGAAGCTTCTCCTTATTCCTCCTCTCCAAATTCATCAACTTCCGGTGTAGAGTTTATCTCACAATCTACCTCATTTGACTTTAGTGCTTGGTGACTTCTGCTTTCTGTGCTGATGAACTTTTCTGGAAAAATAAAATGTCAAACAAAAGGTGCTGTTTCAGCTTTTGCAATTGTAGGTCAGGTAGCGGAAAGTAATGAGGAACAGTTGAATTTGGTAACCAGAAAATGTTAGCTAATTTTCCATTTTCANCTTGGTGACTTCTGCTTTCTGTGCTGATGAACTTTTCTGGAAAAATAAAATGTCAAACAAAAGGTGCTGTTTCAGCTTTTGCAATTGTAGGTCAGGTAGCGGAAAGTAATGAGGAACAGTTGAATTTGGTAACCAGAAAATGTTAGCTAATTTTCCATTTTCCCCACTGGCAAAGTACATTGGTGCAAATGGCAAATCGATTTTCTAAAACACCGTCAATGTGTTTGTGCTTTTAAATGGCCGACTTTTAATAATAACTTTAAAGTTTGCACTCTGCCTGTCTTCACCGACTACTGCTGCTGTTTCTGCTGCCGGGCTGTTGTGCTGCGCTGGTCGTCACCATTGGAAACACCACAGCAAGTCGATCAAACTGTTGAGAGGACACTTTGTGACTGAGCGCAACTTGAAGAAAACACCGTTAATTTTTTATTTAAGTTAGTATTGAAGAGTCTTGAGAAGTCTTGTACTTTGTAATTTACGAAGTTGAACTTCTGTTTGAAAACTAAAACACAAACTAAACAAATCCGCCTCTTGATGACTTTAAAGAAGATTCACAGCAGCAGCTGCAACGGCGGCGGAGGTGGTAGCGTTTGTGAAAGCATTCTCGAAGAGTTTACCAACAGTTCACCAAGCAAAAATGGACTGGTTTCAAAAGAAACTGCTGCTGAGCCGGTTTCTAAAAGAAGTGACCAAAAAGAGGACCAAGAAGGTGAGGAGGACAAAGACTGGGGCCGGCTGCAGTGGAACTACATCGCCTTCTACGCGCTGATTCACCTGCTGGGCGTGTACGGCCTCTGGGCCACCGTGTCCGGGGTGGCCAAGTGGCAGACGGCGGTGGCCGCCTACGTCGAGGTCATTCTGGGAACGATGGGCATCCTCGCCGGTAAGATAAAATACTTAATTTAAAGCCATTTTAATGGTTTCTAAATTTTGTAAGTGGTTTATCTTACAGGAGCGCATCGGCTATGGGCGCACCGATCGTACAAGGCAAAGCTTCCGCTTCGGTAAACAAAAAAAAATTATTTTAAGGCGAGACTCAGTCGAGCCTTAAATTCTCTAAAAACCTAGTACTAAATTTCCTCAATTTTTTCTCTGCCCAGAATCTTCCTCGCGGCCATCAACACCCTCGGTTTCATGTACTCGATTCTGCACTGGGCCCGCGACCACCGCCAGCACCACAAGTTCACCGACACTCACGCCGATCCGCACAACGCCGGCCGNGTACTCGATTCTGCACTGGGCCCGCGACCACCGCCAGCACCACAAGTTCACCGACACTCACGCCGATCCGCACAACGCCGGCCGGGGCTTCTTCTACTCGCACATCGGCTGGCTCTTCTGGGAGAAGCACCGCGACTGCGAGGCGAAGCACTCCGTCATCGACACCGCCGACCTGATGGTTTGAATGAACAACAACAACAAATCCTAAAACTTAAACTACTACTACTACTTTACAGGCCGATCCGGTGGTGCGGCTGCAGTTTCGCTTCTACAAGCCGCTGGCAATGCTCATATGGGGCCTGCTTCCCACGCTGATTCCCATGCTCTGCTGGGGCGAGACCTTCCTCAACTCGGTGGCCGTCTGCGTGTGCTTCCGCTACGCCCTCACCTGTCACAATGTCTTCCTCATCAACAGCGCCGCCCACCTGTACGGCAC